GAATTAACGCGTTTCGTGTAATTAGCGACATAGTTCAATTCCTGGGCAGAGAAGTGCAGAATTAGGCTCCGTCGAAACAGGCGTTTTTGCCATAACAGAGCAATGCTAAAAAAAGTACAGCATGGGATATCACTCGATATGGCCAGCAGAACGAGAACAATCTATTCCCGTAGATTAAATAAAGGGCTCAATTCGAAATTCCCTGAAGTTTATCCGGATCGAGAGACATTTGAAGAAGTGCACAGCGGCCGAAACATTGTGACAATAAGATGAAGGTATTAGTCCAGCTGTTAATAAAGTAAATAATGATGACTCTTCATTCGAGAAATTCAGAGATATTATTGAATATTTTAGTGGACATCAAAAAATGTTTAGTGAACTAGCCGAAATGGCCGACTGCCATACGATTTTTGCCATGTGCCAGAAAAAGCAAGGTTTAATAAGTAACTATAAAAATAGAGAAAGTAACTCCGAAAAAATATTCTTAATTTATTATGATTATTTACATTATTTACAATGTTCGAACTGTTGTCCTAACCTTTTTGCTGTATTTATAACATTTCGGCCGTTGTCCGCTCTGGCCTTCTTCAGATGATTGGAATTTCGAACTGAACCCGTTATTTCGTCCACTGATAGATTGTTCTAGTTCCACGTTCCATGCCTTTTCCGGATGTCTCTGTTGTTTCCCCTTAACTTAACTTTCCAAGATTTTATTCACTACTGCAGTAGCCAGGTATTAAAGTCACAACTCTTTGGGTCAAGTCACTGGATCCAACCAATCCACTTAGCAATGTGTTTTTGAATCCAACCAATCCACTTAGCAATGTGTTTTTGAATCCAACCAATCCACTTAGCAATGTGTTTTTGATTAATTATGTGTTGTAACCTAGGGAAAAGGTTACTGAATAGAATAGTCAAACGAAGGTTGGTAAGGGACGATAATACTTAGGACAAGGACAACACATATAAGGTTCGCCAGCGGCGCGTAGAAGAAGTAATCAACTTCTAGAAGTGACTCAAGTGAATTCCTCAATTAATCTCCAACTTCAGGCCACCATACTGTATTTATGTCAATGGGGACATACCCGTTATCGTCCGTAGGTATGCTACAACATTATGCAAGAAAGAAGATAATGCGATTCCATACTTTGACAGATTATCCTCATCTGAGGATATTCATAAAAACGCTCAGAGATGAAGAGGAGGTAAATGAGATGTGATTCTATTGAAGGATGCTGAGTATATTATGGACGGAGTCTGTAAGCTACGAGGGAGCTTTAAGAAAAATTGAAGCAAAAAGGACATAGAATCAGAAGGGGACACATAATGAGAAAAGATGGCTTGTAGAATTTGATACTCACAGGATATATTGAGGATAAGAGGTAGCGAGAGAAACATCGATATACCTACTTAACGAGTTTGTGCAAATGGTTGTCAGAACAAAGAGCGGGACAGTAATAAGCCAAAATATAATAAGAGTTTCTGAGAGTAGGAAGTTGTGGAGAGCCATCATCGCCCACGCCCTGAAGGGACAGGGCACATAAAAGATGAAGAATAACCACAGAGAATATATTTGCGTGCTTTGATTAATCATGTAATAAAGAGGAGAGTACAATTGGATATTTCACCATATTATCCTTGGGTGAAGATATCAATAAAAATTAAGTCCACCTTTTTATTTTGATTCTTAGACTTTTGACATTGGACTTACGATTCTGATTTTTCACTAGAATATTTGGATTTGTGAGACTGGATTGCGATAGGCTTTTTGCACTACCCTTGTAGGTTTTAACATTTGTTAAAATACACAAGTTATTTCGGCACAACATTTCGTTTGTTGTTGTTGTTGTTGCTCTTTTGCCTCTGTTAAATGGGAGGCAGGTTAACGTCAACGTCAACGTCAGGTTAACCGTTAACGCCTGAATTCACCTTTGACAGAATTGACCAGTCAACGGTCGGATGTAGTGCTCATGTGTGAACTAATCGAAATTAAAAGAACTAAACGATTTCTTCTTCCACTGCACCTGAGAAGCATGACCCTTGCAGTGTATCGTCAACTTACAAGGAGCAGAAGGCCGACACTGAGCAGGTCAAGTGCATATTGTTAACTGCGTTCATGATAGATCCATTTGTAAACTCTTATCGATTTCTGGCGAAACAGTGGATGTATATTTCGCAAAACTTGAGAAGCTGGCCGTTCTAATTCCAAAACTGTCCGAACAATAGATAGTTTGAGTCTGAATTGCCGAATCATGTCCTGCGGACACTTCGAGCGTCTTCCAGAATAGACAACATAGAGCCAAATATTAATCAGGGCCTGCGACATGATGACAGATAAAATAAAAATTGAGGAGACAGTGGCTGCAGCCACTCAAACAGCAGAAACCCACAATAATTCAACCCCGTCTATTAATCGTCGCGACAGTTTCACCTGCTACAAATGCCATGGATCTAATTTTGACAAAGACTGTCAGTATCGACGTGAAGAGACGCAAGGCCGTTCTCCGCGAATGTCCCGCAATCATATTCAATGCCACGAAGTACTAGAGAAGCAAGATGGGGGACACAACGTAAGCGCTAGTTTCACTCCCTTGAAAGTAATGAAATGTAATTAACGTACGCGTTGATGGGATAAAACGCACCGCCCTATACTATATACAATGGCTTTCATGACAGTCGGTGCCACATTAAACCAAAATCTCATTCTAGTTAGAGAGTATCTCCGTCCTTTGTAAATGACCGTTTGAAATGGCCATAGCGATCGGTGCACATGTATTTGCAGTAGGGTTTTCCGAAGAACGAACACAATGACATTGGGCCCTTACCTCCGCCATTATCAATTTTTCCGCACAAACACCGGCATGAGCAGTGGTTAGGGTCCATTTACTTCCCGGTAATCCAACACGGGATGAACCTTTCCCTTGTTCTTTTGCACAACTACTATTAAGGAGATTAGCCCTCTTGAGGGACCAAGTTCTTCTTCCGAGTAAAGTATCAGCCACCTATTTTCTAGCAATCTGTGGTTCGTGTTGGTATTCCCTCTCGGCCTACTTAGACATCGGGTACTCGGATACCTGTTTTTTTTTAGATACTCTGACGGGTGTCCATCCGACCACTTTCATAATGCAGTTCAAATCTTGGGTTGCTCTCGACTGCTTTACCAACATCTGGAGCAGGCAAGAAAAGGACGGAAAGCTTCTCAGAAGCTGACGAGTTGCTAGCGTCAGACTTTGTTTATATGACGATAACTCCAATCAAAGGATATTTTGTTCGTAGAGAGCGAATTGTTAGGGTTCGATTTACCCATTGGACGTTATCAAGAAGCTAGGATGAGTTCGCATCACTGAATTGGGTGGAGTCAGATTTTCTAATACAGCTATTTGTGCGGCCATAAATATCAACGAGCCCAACTTTAGTGCAGAGTTCGACCAAAACTGCATTATGATTCGAATTGCATTATGACGGAGGTACTCTCTAACTAGAATGAGATTTTGGTTTAATGTGGCACCGACTGTCATGAAAGCCATTGTATATAACGTGCTGGCGAAAGATTCATCTATTCGAAAGGCCAATTCAGCTGATATTGATATATATACATCAAAGAAAAATCGGTACCTCATCGTGGTATAATGGTTAGAAAGCTTGTATCGCTAGATCAATTACGACTGAAAAGTGAGTTCGATCCTCACTAGGTGCCCTATACTTTAGGCTTTGTGCCACATCTAAGCTGTGCTTAGAAAATAACTATACATCGACGAAAATATACCGTCTGCAGAATGTGTAAGGCAAAATCTCGCTAACTCTGGAATTAGAACCGGAACAATTATAGACCAATGCCGGATGCCCCTCTCGGCTTGCAGGTTAGGGTGGAGCAAGACATTCTTTTTTGGAAGCGTGAGAGTGAATTATGAAAAGGAATTGAAATTGGTAAGACACTTTGCAGTTTGTAGATGGCTTCGTTATTGCGACTGCATTCATTAAACGCAGATGAATTGATTGACGCTCTCCGGCCATCTTCACGTGATATACGAACCCTTTATTTAGTCCACTGGAGTAGGGTAGATTGTTCTAATTCCACGTGCCTTTCCAATTTTTTGTTCCATCTGTTGTGACCAGGTATTGAACTCGCAACTACTTGGATTACACAACCAACGCTTTTATCTACTGGGCCAGTGAATGAATTTTTGAAACTTATAAATCTAGTGTTTCAGTAATCATTTTCAACCAGAGCTCATATTAAAATTTCTTGTTACTATTGCTTTTCTCTAGTAATCTGTATTATTGGTTCCCATATTGTATTCATTTCTATGCTTGGTCGGCTAAGGAGATTTTTGTGGCCTAGAATATGTGCTGATTCGTTAAGTCTTCGTATTTTTCAGCACTGTTTATTCTTTCAATCACATCCCACAGGTAGTGGTGATCTCCCTTTTCCCTCCATATGTGGTCAGCCATGTCGGATTTTTTTTATTTTCCTTCATATTACGACCTGATGATGTTCCTGGAGTTTTATCTCAAGGGGGCAGCCACTTTCTTTATATTTCTTGCCACAGCTGCACGGGATGGTGTACACACAGTTCTTAATCATGTTCTCCATTTATGGGTACTCTTATTCAGAAAAGTTGTCTGCGTAGATGTGAACCACTCTTGAAGGTTGTCCTGATGTTATATGAACCATAGGTCTGTTGTATGTTTTCAGATAAGCCCTTCACATAGAGGGATAGAAGGGCACAGTATGATGATAACACTCAGAAAACAGCCTCGGTCTGATGCATGCTGGTTGCGCCCAGAATATGATGTTCAGTACATAAACATAGCAGAGTTGGACGCCGTATTTAAGGGTGTCAATGTAGCACTTATTAAGGGACTATGCATGTGTTTATAGGTGGATATCGGGCATTCTCACAGGAAAGACCTGATTGCACGTTAAATTAACTTATGTGTGAGCATAACATTGGTTAAACCTAACCAGAACTAAGCAAACAAGCTGACGAAAGCGTTACTGAGATGGCTTGACGCAATAAGGAAAGAGAGAGAGAGAGAGAGAGAGAGAGAGAGAAGTCATGAAACTCACCTGTGCAACATCAAAGGTGCAACATCGATGACCAAGAGCGGCTTCGACTAGATAAGTTCTGTACACTGTCATAGAGGTCTGTCTCATTGTGCTAGAGTGTCGTTGATCCTACAATAAAATTCATATTATCCTTTGAAAGGATTTGTTTTGATCCTGCTGGGTGTCTTTTCACCCTCCTCACCAGGAAAGAATAAATTAGTTGAAGCAATAAGGAGAGAGAGAGAGAGAGAGAGAGAGAGAGAGAGAGAGAGAGGGGAGAGAGAGAGAGGGGAGAGAGAGAGAGAGAGCTGTGAAACATCATAGGCGCAACATCGGTGGACAAGAGCGGCTCCGACCGGATAAAGTCACTACATTGTGGAAGTGGTCACCCCGGCGTCAGACGGACCCTGTACTTTGCAAATCGATCCTGTGATTTCTGAAGCAGCAGTTAAGACTGTAGTCAGAGATTATCAGGAATGTACGTCAACTGAACCATCACTAGCACGATGACCAAGGGGAAGATTGGATGTTAGTGATGCGTGGAATCGGGTGGGGTGGACATTACTCATTATGATGGCAGACATTACCAGACGCTGTAGTCCCACTCGATTCACCATTTTGGTCACAACGGCGTCGGCAGGTTTCGGCCAGCGTGATCGACCATTTAAATGCCCTATTTTTCGAACGGGACACTCTTACTGAAATACTCACCAACAAGAACACCGCATTCCGCAATAAACTATTCAAGGAGGTTTTTGGAAATGGGGGAGTGCATTCACCACGCATACAACACTCGGTAATGGAGGTTGTGTATTGGCACACCAAAAGATGACATATCACCATCCACCGTGCCCGACAATGGGATCTAACACTACCGAGTAATTGTATTAAACACTGACACAACACCTCTGCCAGAACAAGAGTGCAGACAACTTAGGTACAACTTAGAGGACATCGTGTATGGATAAAGTCGTCACCAAACCGTACAACACAATATCGAGTAAGACATGTCACTGTGATCAGTATCTCTCACTCGATTCTCATTCATGGGATTCCGCGCCATGTAAAGGACATGGCCACTTTGTTGGTCTAAACACGTCGACGAGTGGTACCAGCAGCGAATCATCAGAAAGTGAAAGACTAGTCAACACTGAAAATGCATCTTCGGAAGCAAGTGATTCGGAGACTTATCAAGATGCAGTTGATGACTCACTGCAAGGCGACCCGACTGGAGGAGAGACAGTAATTAGAAGTAGAAGCATAAGACTTAAGAAACCTGACCCTGTTTGTCATCGGTATCACTGGGTGGAAGATGTAGTGATTCTGATTTTTGACTATACTATTATTTGCCTTTTGGATATGTGAGACTGGATTTGGGATAAGGACTTTTTTTATCGTGCTTTTTATTTTGTTAACAAACTCGCATGTAGTTTTATTTTTTATTTTTGGATGACGTTCCCAGCACCACTTCAAGCCGGTTTTGTATTCAGTTCCGCTTCTCCTGGTTTATTACCAAAGCTAGAGAGCTCAGTCAGCCCTACTATTTGATCCATAGCAAGAGGGAGAAAACCTTTTCAAAGGTATGTGCAAGAATGAACGCAATGAACTTAGCCGGAATTTGATTTCAGTTACTGCGCTGATAACTAGAGAATACAGAGAAATAATTCTTCAAGCAGCAGAAACCGTTCTCATCTATGAAGCTGTTAAAAGTGAGTTTAATTCTTATAATTTTTTTTTTTTTACTTCAGATTCACGTTTGAGTAATTTCTTCATTTCCTTGGGAAATTGAGTAAAATCTTCATCATGGTCATCCGAGTGGCCGGGTGTGGTCATAGGATTGCTGTGCGATTGAGCATCTGAGCAATTCCTCTGCGTATTTGTTTAAAGGCTGGAGAAGTATTCATTCATGCATAGCGTGTCTTGGGAAAGTAGACCTGGTGGAGACCATCCCTCTTCAGGTCAAACCACAGACTACGTCCTCCAACTTGATGGCTCGACTTGTTCACGGACACGCGAACTGTTTATTGCATCGAGAGGAAATTGTTCGCCCTGGCCATTGACTTCAGTCAAGGAATTCATTCGCCCAGCGATATCCTCATCACCACACTGGCTGCATATACAGCTATGGAGCCCCATCTGTCTCAATGTGCTAGATGGCCGGTGATCCTACAAGAAATTTCATCCACTCTTTGAAAGGAATTGTTTTTTATCCTGCTAGGTGTCTGTCAATCCTCCTCACCAGAAAAAAAGACGAGGAAATTATCATCATCTAACCAATATACTCAGAATAAGATTTCTTGAACTAACCTAGAATTTAACAACTTAGTTGCAATTTTTGAGCCACTCGGTGAGGATCAGAATCATTGCTCCAGAAGAGGCTCTTGACATGCACTGTAATAAAGACTCTAAGCTCCTTGAAAATTTTCATTAGTATTCTCTCTCTCCTTCTCCACTTATCTCACCTCCTTATCCTCTCTCACACGCACATACTCACTGCTTTTGAGAAATTCCCTCCATCCGCACATGACTCTTTGCTTCTCTTTTCTTTTGTCCTGTCTTTCCTCTCTTCTTAGAATCTGACATAAAAGTAATTTATATCTACTTTTCGGTTCCCGGTATGTGCTTCCGTCACTTGATACCACCAAGCAGAAATACTTGTTTTCGTTAATCAGCGTTTCTTCTGACGTAACCCTGGTGTTGATTTCTGTCTCCTAATTTTAGCGATTGGTAATCTGAAGTAAAGACGATCTTTGCTTTCGGCTTATTAAGCAGTCGCTTGGAATGAAGATCTGCGAGGCGGATGCTCGTGTCGCGAAATGTTCGTCATGCGACATTGGCTCAGCGTCTTCGATTCAACGCATAGTTTTACAGAACGAACAGTTAGGAATGCGGAATGTCCTTCGCCAAGTTAGGGACTGACTAAATTGTAAAAGAAAAAAATCCGTTTGCAGCGAGGGTACTCTTTAATCAGGGTGTGGTTGATTCGACAGCGACAATAATGTTCTTTTTTTTATATACATGTATGCAGAGGAAAAAAAGCAATAGTCAACATACAAAACGTAAACATTCAGCCACGGCCTCGATCTCTCTTTCATTTAACCAGACAGCTTCACTCAAGATCAAATACTGTGAACAATTTGCGTCAGTGTGGACTTGAAATAGTAAACGCTCAGTGTACGCTCACAAGAGAAGGAAACAAATGGGAAAGGTGAAATAAAGCCTCAGTGAGAAACGAAAACACGAACCCTGTTTTCAATATAATAACTTCTTTATTCACGGATTTCTCCAGCACTGTCTGGTGGTTTAAGTAAGTGTTAGGTCATCTTTGCTAATTCTTTCTTCTCTCACGGCAGACTAACGGACCAGATCTTCCCTTTTGTCAGCGAAAAATTCGATTGACCCTCTGTCCATCTCTGACTTCAACTATCTTTACATCTCAACCCCGACTGCCACTTTTTTTCGGCCACTCTGACTACTCTATACCCCCACCAGCGGCATGTCATTCACCAAAGGCCGGCTCATAACTGACTGACAGCCTCGGTCATTCTTTCATTTTCCGGTTGAGTGGCAATTGATCCCGAAAGTTTTCATTGATTTATTTATTTATTTACATTACATTCATCTTCTATATTTGCGGGCAGGGGGTTATTGTTTCGAAATCCTCGTATCTAGATTCTTTTTTGCTCATAAAACACCCATGAGGACCAGATAAAATTCATTGCAAGTTCATTTAAATCGGTGAGTGTTTTAAGCCAATCATGTAGGGAACATATTCTATCGCATATTACTTCTTTAGTTTTTCTTTCATCTAATTTTTGTAACTTTTTATTGCAATGCTAATATTATTTTATGTCTACTACCATTCAGTGTAAACAAACAATATGTGGTAGAATAGATATATGATGTAATTTAAACTTAACAATTTGATTGGAGGCTTAATCAGTATCGCAAGGTTCATGGAAAACAGCGTCCCAAGGTTACAGAATATGCTACTTCTTTTCTTTTATTTGACCAAATTTAAGCTAATAGAATACACAATCCTGCATTGCAGTTAATTGTATACTTTGTAACTTTAGCTGTATAATGTGCTTCTCGCCAGGCCTATATACGGTTTTATGTTCTTTAAATTTAAATTTTTGTTGTTGTTCTAATCGACTGGTTGTTAACGATGGCTAGGAAGCTCAGTATGCACTGTTATTTAACTCATGGAGACGCAAAAGGATTCATACCTTTACCCAATGTATAAGTTCAAAAATAAATATAACGAATTTAGCCGAAACTCGAAGTCTGTACAGCGAGAGGCTAACCGTTACACTACAAATCGCCATGCTATTTGGTCGTAGAATGTAAAAACGACCTGATTGTTGCAGAAAAGCTTAAAAGAAGAAATAATCAGTAGTTATCAATGAAACAGTAAACAAACAAAAAAAAATGCTTTTCGCGTTCGTTATGACAGAAACAGATTCTAACCTTAATGCGAACTGAATTCTTTGTTTCTCTGAAACTGAAAGATTCCTTTTAACACAAAGGAAAGATTCTTATAACCGCCCATTCTTTGATCTTATGTGGTGTGTCTCCATTTTCGAACTAATTAACCCCACCACTGTTCGATGAAAACACAATTAAAAATAAAGGACGTCGTATTGCTTAAAACTTTGACAATTATAAATAAAATGCTTAGTTTTAAAGTGATTTTCATATGTAGGTCAATTACTTATGTTATCCCCACATACGCTGTCAAGCACATATAAAAACGGGACACTTCCTGTCTTCATTTTCTTTTCTTTCTTTTATCCGCCCAGCATGCTGACGCAACGATATTCACGGTACTTTGTTACTGGGCAATGGAGATATATTTCCTCTTAGTGACTGAAAAGTTTCTAATTTGTATTCCCCCATCCAACGTCGAGGCTGTAGTTTGTATCAATTAGAGTCACGCTATATAATGATTACAACTTTTAATTGTTTGTAAACATATAAATGGCTTACGGCCACATCACGTTGAAACATCAGTTCCCGTACGATCACTGAAGTTAAGCAGCGTCAACGTTTGATTAGGAGCAGTAACACACTTAAAAAGTTACAGCGAATGTACAAAGACCATTGACCATTGTTTTCGTTGTTTGTTATATCATTTCATAATCTATGTTATTCATTGAAATCGGAATTTGTCAGCGTTAAGAATAATTCAGGTGATAAATACGAAGCCATGTTGACATTTATATTTGATATTTAAAAGTGAACGAACAAATGCCTTTCACGTGAATATAATGATTGTCGCATACTTAACTGGCAACCATTTTGTTTGCTGACAGGTCAGCG